TTGTTTCTTGTTTAGATTTAGATCTAGAGTTACTATAACAGGGCCGTTATTACATGATGAATATGCCCAGATCCAAACCACGGTAGCTCTGCCTGTATCTGTAGCGGCAGTGTACTGCTGGAAGGAGAACCCGACACTTAGCCTATATATTTTTCCATCCATCTTTTCATCAACTCTTACCAGGTTCCTGCCTTCCTCAGAGTATGATGCTGCTACCACCAGGTTTTACTGTGCGTAATGTTAATATTTTCCCCCCTGGGCAATTAGTACATTTCCAGTCTCATCTGGCCAGAGCAACTTAAATACTTGTCTCCCACATAAACTGGATTTTACTTTGGTACATCTGAGTGTGGGGATTGCAAAAGTATACTCACCACAAAAGCATTATAAAAGCTTCTAAAATTTTTAATTTTACTTGCATTTGTTTGATCTGGATGATGTAAACTTTTTCAGGTTTCATCACTAAAAATTTTTTAACCATACATCCATTTTCCTCTACTCCATGATTACATACTACTTTTTGTTTGTCTACCACATTGAAGCATAATACATTTTGTGATAATAAAGTCACAAGATGTCAAAATAAAAGCGATGGTATATGTGTGCCCTTGCAAGGTACTCTATTTTATAACTTTAAACTACCTGATCTGGAACATTTTGGCAGGTTATGCCAGAAAAAGGATCCATCCTCTAAATGCATGCATGGGATGTGTCATTTGCGTTTCAGCTCAGGGTAATCAGTATATCTTTCTTTTGCATGTGAGTGTGTGTGTGTGGTTTTCAGAAACTGAAGCCTATGGGAAGTACCGATGACCTCACCACTGCTTGTGACTGCAGTGAAACCTCACCTCTCTGCACCATGATCAGAGAAACAGGACACACACACACACACACACGCACACGCACACACACACACACCCCCACACGCACACACGCACTCAGTGTAAACAGCACAAACATATAAATGAGCATACCTGGCGTCTGAAGGGTCTGGAACATGAGATTCACTGTGTGATTTCTTCACCTGCGGAGAAACCAGAAGACAGTAAATTACTTTGCAAACACACAACCGCTTGTGTGAAGCATTACACACAAGCGACTCATAAGAACCAGTGTTAAATGTCCCATAAACAAGCCCCATAAAATGGTGTTAATGAGTCAAGCACATTGTACCAGGATTATAAAAAGATGTGATTAAAAAAAAAAAAAAAAACGAAAAGAAAAAGTATTTCTTCAACATTTCCAGAAGATGAAGCTATCTGTTAAGCAAATTATCAAAAACGAAAAACCATATTTTATTATTTTTAAATTTAGTTGGGTTTGTAACATTACCAAAGTGCAAAAATAATTCACAGTAAAAAAAAAAAACTCTGAAACTTATTATGGACTCATGACATGCTAGAGACACTGTTGAAGTGAAGAATATTGTTCTAAATGGCTTTTTGTACTTTAGAGTCGTGCAGTGCTGCTCCTCCCCCACCTGTTGTTGGTACACATTTCCCTGGGTACAAGAAATTGAACTTGAAATTGAAATTGAAGAGAAAGGACTGAAGGAGACTTACCCATTGGCTAATATCAGGTAACTGTACTGATGTTACTTTTTAAGAAGCAGAAACAGAAAGGGCTCACTTGAAAACTACAATAAAAGCTGTTTTTTAAGTTGAAATTGTCTCCAACTCAAAACCAAATAATGCAAATGCAGCTGAAACTGAGACATTTATATACGGAGTATAAAAAGAGATCACAGCCAACAGTTTCCACTGTCTGATAGACGTTCAAAATAAACCTGCTCTGTTTGAGATCAGTCAGGAGTTAGAAAATAATTTTATTTGCCAGGAGACAGAATAAGGAGATTTTTTTTTTTCTTTAGCTTTCTCAAAATTTAGGCATTTCTCAAAATTTAGGCGTTTATATTTTTTCTTAGGATTTGATAGAGAGTGCATGACTTAGGTCGAACACATTGCATGTCTTTGAATGACTTTTTTCGCAGTCATTCTGGTCCACTCCTCCTGACAAAGTTAATGAAACAAAATCAAGATTGTGGGTCGTCTTGCTCACACACATCGTTTCTGCCCTAATTCCACATGCTGGCCTCCATTTAACTGAAATGTTGTAAAATATGCTCCTGGTGTGTCTGACGTTAAAGAGAGTATAAAAATGTAACATCAAAAACCTGTCTGACATTGTTCCTGCAGTTAGCATATAAAAATAATTTACGTTACTTTATCTGACTATAAATGAGAAAAGCTTACTCTTATTTAAGATTAGACAATCAGATAAAATGGTTCTGTCTTTTCCATAGTTGTGCAAATCTGGTGCAACCTTGTGTTAAAAATAACTTAATACATTTTACATTATTTTTCCAGTAAGACTTTGTAATTTGAAAATTAAAGCATCTGGACAATATTTCACTTTTTTAAAATTTTTTAAATTTCTGTGAAGATATTCAAACACTGTGATATTTTTTATCAATCCAGTCAAAACCTGATCATTTTATACCATCCCATATTTTCAAATAAGTCACAACCTGCTGACTGTAGCAGTAGGTTCCACTAAGTTCGAAGTGCTAACTACAGTCTAAGTGACAGATATTAACTTTCCCTTGTTCACCTGTGACCCTATCTCCATCCTGCGCTCGGTCGCTGCTCTCAACCCCTTATAAGAGTTTAAAGGTCCCAGCGGGGTCATGTTAGGTCACAGCGGAGAGGTCGCTCCTCACCGTTAAACATGTCCATGTAGAAACTGAACTCAGCCTTGACTTTGGGAGGTATACTTGTGACATGTGGTCAAGTCAATCAGTGTGTATGGGTTCTTGGGAAAAAAAAAAAAAGGTTACGGAAAACCATACTTCGGTCTCTACCTCAGCATACGCTCCCTACACACAGGCTCTGTTTATGCACGCCTTTGTGTGAGGCTATGTGGAGACAGACAGCAGACCAGTGGTTCTCTATTAAAATTCCTCGCTCTTATTTGGAGCAGGAACTAATTAGACGAGTAAATGCAGGGTGGAGCGAGGGCCAATGTGTACCAGCTGCCCTATAATCACTGTGTCAACACACTGTCAAGGTGTAGGGGCACGCGCAGGCTGCCAAACACACAGTCCCACACAGGGTAAAACGCAGTCGCAGGAAAATTCAACTAGGCAGCATACATCCAGGTAGTTTCCAAATTATCCCAATCATAGGTAAGTGCACAGAAAAAGTGCAAGGCAGACGCTAAACTGCGGTTAACTGGAAACTAGGACATGTCTGCGCGTTGATGTGTGTGTGGAGAGGACGCTGTTGTGCTGCTATGGTTCTGATTAGAGGATCCTGCTGAGAGCGAATAAGAAGCAGCACTTAGCTGTTTAAGACAGAGGTCAAAGGTCGGCCAGACTTCTCATATGGATTGCTTTACACACACACACACACACACCCACACACACTCACGCACGGACGCACACCCACACACCCACACACAACACTTTCGTGTCACTTTTCATGCTTTACTGAAATTTAACAAGGCTGTCAGTCACAGCATCAACGGGGATGGCCGTGAGAAACTGCAATCCACATGTAGCGCACATGCAGGACCCCTGACACACACATGCACACATGCAGTAATGCACAAGCTTGGCTTGGTTTCTGTCTCAACATGATCTACGAAAACACAAGCACACGCAGGCTTTGATCCCGGAAAGCTTTTAGGACGCACGCGTTCTCTCAGTGTCCGAGTCTCTCGCCTGGCTCAGTGTGACGAGTCTTTTATCTTTGACTCTTAGACATGCTTGTTTCATATAAAAATAAAAGAAAATCGTATTTGTTTTATGGGGTAGTCAAATATGATAGCAGTAATAAGTTATTAAGACGATTCTGCTGTGCATGAACGGTCACAGAAGGTATTTCTAACCCTAACCACCCCATTGACTAAGTAAAGAGTAATAAAACTACAATATTTAACTTTAAAAGAGATAATAAATCAAGCATCATTAGTTCTGCGAGAACAAGTGCGCAGCTAATTTTACTTCTAACATCAGACACAAAGCTCCCCTGAGTTCACTTTTAGGTGGCCACAATGTCTGAATAAACCATTTGTGTTACCTGAGCCACCAAAAAAGATGACCTTTGACCTGGTTGACCGGGTGACCGGTCTGGAACACTACCTGGTCGGTAAAAAGGACTCCCTAAGGGATAAGTTCATCTAGCACAGGTCATTAGCACAATAAAGATCCACACTGAAAAAAATAAGTCATTGGATGAACATAAAAAAATTATGGAAAGGATTTCCACCTGATTACTTTGCTTTATTTCAGCACCATGTACTTGTGTTACTCCTATTTAAAGCAAATGTGTTAGGTCAACCTAATTTATTAAGATTATTCCAATGTAAAGCAAATGTGTTGGCTCCACTTGTTACAATGGTGATTCAATGAGTGATTCTAAATCAAACATGTTGGCTCAACGTAATATATTGTGGTTATTCTTATATAAATAAAATGAGTTGGCAAAACATAATTCATTAAGGTTGTTCTAATTTAAACCAAATATGTTGGCTTAACCAGAATTATGGTAAGGCAATGGATGATTGTAAATCAAATGAGTTGGCTCAACTCCATTCATTAAGGTTATTCAAATTCAAATGAAATGTGTTTGCTCAACATATGTTTTAAAGGTTCCTTTAACTCAGTTACTATAGCGTGACCCAGTGTAATGCAATACAGCCCGCCCAACTAATCTGCAATGTTTAGGACCAAATCATTGATGTAACTTCATTAAGACGAATCTAGTTGAAACCACCTTATTTTACAGTGGTACCTTCACACTACCTGATTCAGTAGGTCCAACTCACTAAAAGCAAGTTAGCTCAACAAATATGCTTCATGCTAAACGACAGCTAGTTAATCATGTGGAAATCCTTTCCATTATTTCATGACGTTAATTCAAAGACATATTTTCAAGCGTTAATCAAGCATTTTAAGATAGCACTAGGTGAAAGTGTAGGAAGAACACTCAACAATTAGAAAAGGTACAACACAATTGTATTTTCAGAATTATTATACATCGTTTTTTTACACAGCACAAAACACAGCTGAGTTGGACATTGAAATAAAAAAACAACTACAAAAAGGTTACAGTTTCATTTCCCAGCCAATTCTTTACAACATAAAACATGTCAGTATAGTTGCTCAACTTAGAGAACTGTAACAATATAAATCTTTTCTACTGCAGACTTTAAACACTCATTTTCCATATGAAACTTTACTCAACTTAGCGGCGAGTTTCATATTGAGAACTTGTGCTTTCTTTGATAAGTTCTTTCCATCCAATTTCATTATTATTTTCTGTATTACTTCAAAGGTATGCTTGAGTTACTGAGCAAGTTGAGTGCTGAACGCACTAAACTTGAGGGTAGCTCAAGTTTAGTGCGTAGATTAGTCCCAGTAGCATCACTATTGCAGAAGATACACTGCCCAAGCTGTTCATAACTTCCACCTCCTCCAGGACAATCCCAACATCCAGATGTGCATCGGCAGCCTCTGCACCCTCTGCTCAAATGACGATTCCGAGGACAGTCTCGGCTTTGGCCATTTCATTCATCAACGTCCTAAGGGAGTTAGGGAAGGGTATTGGGGGGGAGACAATTCACATGTAATTAAGTAAATAAATTAAGACTGACATTGATTGAGTCACTCATGGACCTTAGTTGGTGAAAGTATTTTAACAACTCTTAGGAGTTCTATTGTAAACACAAAAACAATTTAACATACCATGTACTCCCTCACCAGCTTCTCTGGATCTTCATTTAGGTACACACAGACCTTTGAGGATGCACTCTCGTCTGACCTCAGCAGTGTCTTCCTAAATATGCAGATCAAAAAACAATGAGAACAATCTCAAAACTCCAGCAGTATAGGTTCACACACTTGAAAACATAGCTACATTCAAAGGAAGTCACAACAAAAGTGATCAGTGGCTTGCAGTCTATTTGAAAGATATTTAAAATTGTTAGTATCCCTTCATTATGCCATGACTAAAATGGAGTTTAACATCTTATTTAAACATCTAACTGAAGCTGTTAGAGGTTTAAATAAAGACATGAATATATCACCAAAGAAATATGTGAAAAGTACAGAATGGTCAACACAGTCTATATCCTTCTACTTAAATGAATATGCAAAGCATTCCATGTCTTACAAGTACATGGACAGTCTATGTGTGGGCATGGATAACGTCGCATATGCCGGTGTTTAAGTGTAAAATGTTTTAACAGGTCATATCTACGAGACAGAGAGAGACTACACTCCTTACATTTCCACATCCCCACGCAAATAAAGACAAATAAAACAGACTGGCCAAATAAATGTTTAGCTGAACTCTAGCTCTATAAGCTCTCTAACACTACATTCAGTAACTTTAGATCTGGCAAAACTTACTATTAGCCACTGAAATCTATAACTTGATAGCCGATGAGCCCCTTGACCAGTACTTACGCAGGTGGATTACAGACAGGTGATGTTCTGAAAGAGATCAGATATATTTTCAGCCATTAAAATATGCAATTCATACTGAACTGAGTTGTATCTTTTAGTACAAGTCCCTTGAATGCCTCATGAATATAACCACTGGACACTTGTATGCAAGCACATATGTGCAGAACAATGGTGAATTGAACATGGTAGAAAGCAATAGTAACATAGGTCAAAATGAGCACAATCAACACAAAAAACATCAACATTTCAAAATTTTACCAATTTTACCAATGAACTTCAATATTGTTTCTGAGCTACAATTATTTGGGGACAACAAAGAAGAGTCCAAAAAACCCCAACATCTTTACAGCAGAGGAATATGTATTTTAAAGAAAAAAAAAATAGAAAGCTCAAGTCTGTAATAATGGATAATCCATTGAGAGTTTAACCTGACAAAATATACTAGAAATCCATAACTAACAGGTATTTTAGGAACATTTAACAAAGCTCAGAAAGCAATGCTTTCTGCAGGTTTCACCGACTGAAATGTAGGACTTTTTACTACCATAATTAATTAAGAATCTCGATGATGATAGAAAGGTACCAAAGTGTGTGTATCTACATTTACCTCCATAGTAACATTACTGAAATAGAATTAAAATAGTTAGAAATAGACTGATGTTAGATCCGTGTGTTAAAAATCCACTAAACCTCCAGGGAGCTCAGGAGGAGCAAAACTGTGACATTTCCGGGGTCCATTTGTGTCTCTGGCAGCAGCTTTGTGACCCTTACACTACATATGGCTCTGCAGACTTTTTTCGCACAGAATGTACCTAACATGGTGCGGCGATAAATGTAAACAAAAAGCTATCTGCCTTAACCTAACCGACTTAATCTACAGAACATGAAATAATGTGACACAAGTATGGAACAAGTAGAAAATGGTAGAGAAATTTTAAGTTAAATATTTTTATATCGATTTAGATGAAAATAGTTTGAATCATACCTTCTTCAAATCAAGTAGATGCACGTGAGGAATCTCCCCTCTGCCCTTGAAAAAACCCAACAAGGTGCAAGCCAGTTATCTCGCGTGATTTTCCGTAATCTCTTGATGTCGCTGGATCCTCTTCAGCGGGAGATGAGTCTGACACAATAGCGCTTTGGAACTGACGTCACTGTGTTTTTTTTTTATTAGATTAACTTTGACAAATATTGATATTGAATAAAATAATAAAAAAAACGTATATATATATATATATATATATATATATATATATATATATATATATTATATATATATATATATATATATATATATATATATATATATATATATATATATATATATCTTGGCACAGCCAAGATACTGCGCAGGACCCTCAAGCTCCCAGGCCTCTGGTAGAGGCCTGGGAGCTTGGAATTAGATGTATTCAAGTTGAGATAACGTCATTCAATCACGTTAGTTCAGTTGAGAGAAAAAACCGATTATCTCGCGTGTTCTCGCGTGATATCCCGTGATCTCACTCGTTGTCCTCAGCACAATATCAGTCTAACTATAATGAATCATGTTAGCTCAACATGATTCAATTTTATAAATGTGAAGTCGTGGAATATCTTGTTTATCCAACATGATTTTATCACGTTTTCGCTTCAAACCCAACATTATTGTGTGAAAGGTACATGATATTTTTTTGTTAATGTAATACGCCCCGACGTTCTTTTTTTTGGCGGAAGATCTAGCTGACGTAATTGAATCACGTTATCTCACCTTGAATACATTTTATTCCATTTGCGAGAAAAAACCGATTGTCTCGCGTATTCTCGCGTGAACTTGCGTGATCCCGTGATCTCACTCGTGGTCTTCAGCATAGGATCGGTCTGACTATAATGAATCATGTTCGCTCAACATGATTCAATTTTATAAACGTTGAAGTTGTGGAATATCTTGTTTATGCAACATGATTGTATCATTTTTGGCTCAAACATGCAATTATTTAGTTAACAGTACATTATATTCTTTTGTTAATGTGATAACCCCTGAGGTTCCTTTTTTACAGTGCATTTGAGCAAATACTGAGGCTTTATTATTACAATTGAACGAGGCTAGCGGTCTAAAAATGAATAAATTATATATAGACAGACGATCATTTCAGACCTTCTCAAGTGATCAGAAGATCTAAAATGATTGAGTTATTTTTCTTAACTCCATCAAGAGGTTGAAATTTGGCATTAAAAATGCAGAAATAAGGTTTTGTCTGAATCCCCACGTCTCTCCAGGGAAGACAAATTAAATTAGATTAACAGATAATATTAATCTGGAATTATATCTTAAAAAAAGAGTTTTTGTATATGTCGCTCATTCTGAATTTTAAAATAAAGTTTGAAAATGTAAGAACTGGAAAAATATGAATGAAAGTGACATGCATACGCTTCCATTTCCAGTCTGTTGCTAATTTCAATATAAGTTATCTGAAATACATGAAAAACACAAATGTTGCTAAGTTCCACTAAATTTTCTGACACCTTGAGTTTCTCACTTTTTTCTCCAGAAATAGTTTATATTTCAGTAAATTTAGACCTTTTGATCAATCAAACATTTTACAGATTCATTAGATGATCCCTAAAAAAGGGAATGTGTCACTGCAGCCTTTGTTTTCTTTGATGTTCAAATAAATTTTCTTTCAGGCTTTGGAGATCCGTTCTTACCTCAGAGTGTAATCAGGTCAGTTAGCAGTCCCACTCTTCCACAATGCATTATGGAGCGCAACGACCGGGCAGCTCCCCCTCAAGACGCAGACTGCCCTCTCACCCACAAGCAGAGACACACACGCTCCCTAAATGCCTCTCTTCTCCGTCTACCTGCTTCACACTCTGTCCTCCAGGAGTCGCATACCTCTAAGATGTTTCCCCTTTTTTTCTTTTGGACTTTTCTTTGTCACTCTGTGGGACCAGAGAAAGGGAACACTGCGTATTAACTACGTCCTCTCTGCTGCCGCCGCCGCTGCTGAGGTCAATCCGTGCACAGCTGCTGTCTTCCCCGACTCCAGTAATGGGGAACATTTTGCTCGTCTTGTTCCCCTCCTCCTCTGCCTCCACCCCCTCGTTTTTTGCTTCTCCTCCTCCTCTTTTTTCTCTGCTGTCACTCATTACAGACTCACCCTGGCTTGCATTTAGAGCCTAAAAAACATTTGAAATGTTAATTGTTTTGTTTTCCCAGTCTGATCTCGACTGAAGCTCTGACATAAAAATCTAGTTGCATTCAAAAAAAAAAAAAAAGAAAAACAACTCAGTGAAGCATTTGATAAATGGAAACAATGTGTGAGGATCTCAGGAATGGCAGCAGAAACTACAAGCGAGATCATAAACTTCGCACCTCTCAATTCACCCATCCCTCCTCCCCTTCGTCCCCTACACACATACTTAGACACCCACACCACACAGGGTCTCACATGTACACCTGAACACACTTTCGACCCGTGTTAACTGGAACCAACATGCGTGCGGCCAGTGTTAAAAAGAGATAAGCAAGGAGAATGGATGGGAGCAAACACTCGCACTCATCAAACCTCCAAGCCGCATCGGTCTGAAGATGGCACTCTTTCACTTTGTCCATCAGGACAGTTTTAAAGGCTGGTGCTGAGCCAAAGACAAGAAGTACACTTTTACACACATTCCTGAACCACACAGATGGGTGTTTATTCACCTTTTCTCAGTACCACTATTCCAACATCAATAAATTCTGGAAGAAAAAAAAAATAGATAAATAAATGTATTTGCCTTAAAAATAAGGCAAACCATTAGGTGACTTCTTTCATAAAAAAAGAGGTGTGTTTGGATCATTTCTACTGTATTTCAAGAGATGTGATTCAACTTTAAAGTTTATTCCGAATACCTAAATAATTTGACAATTTCAATATTGATGAAAGAGCAAAACACAAATAAAAAATCAGCAAATAGTAAAAGTACATAGAAGTGTGAAAAAAGAAAATCTGATTTAAAGCAAACACATTTGAATGCATCTGTCTAAAAGTCAACTTCTGTCCTAAAGTGCTATATTTATTTATAAAGACTTCTTTTCATTATTCACTTTGGTGTGAATAACATCTTGATCTTATCATTGATAAGATCAAGATGTTGTATTTTCAGTACGAGGAAGATTTTTCATTTGGTTGTGATAATGTTGTAGTTTATCGTTGGTGTGCGATGGGAGTGAACTGAGATCTCAAGACATAAGATCTTGCCATAATAAATCATCATGATATTTCTTGCTAAAGTCAACAGTCTTGTGAATCCAGCAGCTCTCAACATGTACAGTCTAGTGAAGGAAGGAAGTTATTAATACTAGCCTGTTATACACAGGTGAGACCGATCAGACTTCCCCAGTAGCACTAGACCAAAGGGCAAATTCCAGGATAAAGAGCAGTGTTCAGCTCTTTATGAATCTGGAATACATTTAAATGTCTCTATTCAAAATTGTATGTATTTAAACAGCGGCTGACAAACATGGGTCAGTACAACAACATGATTAATTTTGTAATTGAAAGGCCCCAATTTTTTTTTCAAACGTCTATGAAGAAAAAATAAATAAATAAAGGGCCCCCTGTCGATCAGGGGCCCTTAGAATTGTCCTAACTTCCCCCCCTATTCGGCGCCCCTGTCCCCAACCTTCAAAAAAGCCCTGTGATTGATAGACTGCTTGTGGAAGGAACGTACACATTTTAGCAAAAGTCTGCAGAGTGTGTGTTAATGGTGGACATGCTAGCGTGTGTGTGTTTGCACTGGACGTTTGTGAACGTATGTAGAGGACGAGCTGTCAGAACAGATTAGGGTGCTGCCGAAGTGCTTGACAACTCAAGCACTTTATTATTAGCCAGGCAAGACCTCATTTGGAGGGGGTCTGGGGGGTCCAAAAACATCCCCGGTGAAATATTTTCACAGCAAGTGGAGAAGGGAGGAGAGGAGGTGTCCCCAAACATGCCTGATGAAATATACAGGCCAAATTAAAACAGAGACGAAAAGAAAGAAAAAAACTAAACAATACCCCAGAGAGGAGTGGATGAGATAATCAGAGCGTTGAGCTGAAGATTTGCGAAGCGTAGTGTCCTGCTGCAGCTAAGTACCATAATTCAGCTCTGCTTTCTGTTGGTTTTAGAAGTGCTGTAAAAATGTTTGAAAAGAGTGAGGTGTCCTGGCTTTGACTTTATCTTTCGAGTGGAACAACCCTAAATATATTTTCCAATTTGCGCAGATACAACAGTTTCATACAAATACTAAATAAACAGAAAGACTGCAAAGCCATGGAATTTGCTTTAGAACAATTCTGGTTTCTTTCTGTTTCAAAATCGTTTGGGTGCTTTGTCGTTAACAACA